CTCCAAACAACTCCAAAACCCAATGCATTTCCATCATGCCACTAAAAATTATTCCCATGCTGGGAACAAATACATTTGAGAAACCAATACCAGCAAAGAGCTGTTTTCAATAAACAGTTGTGATGATTGACTGCTTACAGGCCAGAGTAGCAGCCCCTCCAGCTTTTCACAGCAAGGGCGCACCACATTGCTCGCAGGCATCAAAATTGGCCAAATTCCCAATCTTGATATAAATGCTTGCAAATTAAATAAAAACATTCATGAGCTTTGAAAGGAAAAGCAGTGAAAACCATTACAATAAAATTCTTAGTCAGCCCTGCTGCTCAGGCTGCAAAAGGTTTTCTATCACCTGTTCCTTATTAACCAGATTCAGTGAAGGCAGAGAAGAAAAAAAATTGCCAGGGAAGATATTTAGCAGAAAAAAGGTGAAACACAGAGCCAGAGTCTTTGTGTATTGGTTATGCAAAGAAAGGATACATTAAATAAAAAAGAAATCATAAATGATTGTAGGTAGTATCAGTATTTTGTTTCTCATCAGGCTCTTTCAACTTGTTCCACCTGTTCCTATATAACTTCAGCGATTTACAATAATTATTTGTGGTAGACAACAATTTTATTTGACTTTACTAGGGATTTAGTCATTACTGTAAAACTACAGCAGAGTGAATGTTAGAACATTTATGAGCATCTCCAAAAGCCAGAGGTGAACAGTTTCACACTTCCTGGGAGGGGAAAGCAGTATTTCACAGAGCTTTGACTCCTGCGATCTGCCGGCAGAGAGCTGATGAGAGCCTTTGCCATCTCAGCAAGCACCAGGAATGCTAGATTCTAAGCATTTGCCGGATGCATATTAAGGGTTTTGCAATGACCAGCTACCAAATAAATAGCCACAGGGCACTGAGCTTTTCTTCTTGTCTCAGCTTCATACACACCTGCCAGAACAGCTTCCCAGAGAAGGCAGTAATTTAAACCCACCTCTCATTTAATCTGGCCCTCCAGGGACAAGAGCTATCTGGTTCTAAGCAAGTAATACTAATATACTTGAATTTGGTAACATCAACCGACATTATAAGCATAGGGTACATAATAACTACAACTATGTTTAGACTCAATTCTCCCAACCACTTCAAACCTACATTGTTAATGAAGTCAAAAAGGATTTGCCTCATGTTTTTGACTTTAGGATCTCATCTTTTTAGCTACTATGTTGCAGAATACTTCCACATACAAAATATAATGGAGGAAAACTAGGGCGATGGATTTCAGACCAAATGATAACTCCATTTCTCTTATCAGTATTGGGGGAAATGGGAAAATAGGATGTCCTGGTTCCGGCTGGGGTAGAGTTAATTTTCTTCCTAGTAGCTGGTACGGTGCTGTGTTTTGGATTTAGGATGAGAATAATGTGATAACACACTGATGTTTTAGTTGTTGCTGAGCAGTGCTTACACTAGTCAAGGACTTTTCAGCTTCTCATGCCCTGCCAGCGAGAAGCTGGGAGGGGGCACAGCCAGGACAGCTGCCCCAAACTGGCCAAAGGGACATTCCATACCATGTGACATCATGCTCAGTACATAAACTGGGGGGAGTTAGCCAGGGGGCGGTGACCGCTGCTCGGGGACTGGCTGGGCATCGGTCGGCAGGTGGTGAGCAATTGCATTGTGCATCACTTATTTTGTATATTCTTCTATCATCATTATTATTATTATTTCCCTTCCCTTTATGTCCTACTAAACTGTCTTTATCTCAACCCCACAAATTTTACTTCTCTTCCCCATCCCACTGGGGGCGGGGGAGTGAGCGAACAGCTGTGTGGTATTTAGCTGCCTGCCAGGTTAAACCACTACATAGGACTAGGACGCACTCAATAATCACAGAACTAGTTTCTCCCTAGCTATGCCCCAAACTATGCCTCTTTCCAAAATATAACAGGATCCTGAATTCAAGTTGTACGTACACCAGTACGTAACAGTGGAACAGTTTCCTACAGACTGTCAACTTCTACAGCTGATCTAATCTGGCAATGACTAGCATCAGTAGCTATTGCTGCCTAAGTGATTACACTCAGTTCTCCATGCAACAGGGAAAGATTCATCTTTCAAATACTCATAAGAAGTCAAATTCCATTAAGGCTAAGGTCTCTGCCAAGAGAGATCTGTCTGCCCAAATCTCTCTTAATGCTTCCTTAAAAGTAATGACAGACAGGAAGATTTGTACTCTTTTCCGTTCCTGTATAATATGTCTGTTGTCACCCCCTTAGACCGAACAAAGTGAGAAAAAGAATTATCTGTTTTAAAACAGGTAAATCAAAGTACGCAAAAGAAAGATGGCTTGCATTAGGATACACAAATCAGAGGCTGAACCCAAAATAAAACCCTGGCTGTTTCATTTCCAGTTTAATACTCCAGTTTAAATAGGGGATTTGGAGGCCTTTCCGCACTCTTTCGTAACGTCTATGTGCAACAGAGGGTTTGGCTGAATCCTGGATCTTTCCAAAATTTGTATCAAGAGGGAATGCATGGACCTACAAGTGGCTCCCCTCTTCCACATCTGTCCCGCATGATGTGAGTGTGTGTGAAATTCAGACTCTACAAGACAGATAGAAGAGTTATGGCGAGTGAGAGCAGCAGTAGAATGGATCAAAGTCCTATGTAACACAATGGGGATGTTAGCAGGGTGGCTTTTTGGGGGCAGAGAAGCCAGAGTGTGGCCTGTACTATTCTTTGTTCCAACTTTGACAAAAACACATTTCTCATCACAGGAAGCCTGAGAAGAATTTGCCCCTGGGAATGACAGAAGCTCCAGCTGGAAGAGGGCTCAGACAGGATTAGAAGCAGAACAAAAAGGGCAGACTTTCATCCGTGTGCAGTGGCACTTTCTAGTCTGAAGTATAAAAGGCAATTTTGCTATGGAAGGTTTCTGGAATGTCCATGACAACACTGTGACTGAAGCCTACAGTCTGCTGCGGAGGTATCCTCAGTACTTTAATCAAATTGTACTTGCATATCTCCAGCAGTATCTCAGGCCACCAATACCACACAGTAGCCTTGCCAGCTGATACCACAGACTACAGTGGTTTCTGCCTGAAGTACAGCACAGAGGCAGTCACCCACAACGAAACTCAAGACGCTTATGCTGTCTGTTTGGAGATGTCTAATTCTGACCTCCTCCAAAAGATCCCCTCTTCCTCCTCTAAGAAAATTCAGGTTTATGAAACATCTGTATTCATATTCCACCCCTTCAGTGCTTTGATGCTTTCATCTTCCTAAATCTTTGCACCCTGTGGGGTCTCTCATTACTGTTCTGCAGAAAAACTATTACCCAGCTGTGGTGCAAATCAGAGGCAGAAACAAAGCATCTACCAACAAGCGTAACAAAGCTAAGGAGGAAGAGAAACTGTACCAACAAGAAATTGTGCTTCCTATTTCTCTGAAAGTGGATGTCAGATCAGCAAGGCTTTTCTAATCTTTTCTAATTAAGCAGAAATCCCACAGCCACTTTGGATCAGCAAAAGAAGTCTAGATGGGATAGCATGTCTCAGTTGGGTTTGTCCTTATTTTCTTTGTTAAAGGAGCAAGATTAGCTTTCTTTTGTTTTCTTGGACACCAAGAAGCTTTAATGGCATTTACCCCAGGAACAGATACATGAGCCTTTTACTCCTTCATGTGCATCTTATCTCTGCCAGTTATCACAACCAGAAACTTTGCAGGAAGATGCAAGAACCCACATGTCAGGCAATTACAGAGCAGCTGGCCTGTGGAGAAACAACTTATCCGTAAGGATCTAGAACAAAAGTTGCAGACCTTTTGCAAAAGACTGCACCATCGCTGAAACAGTTCTACTTGGAGATCAAACAGCTATAATCAGCTTTTGAACTGTTAAAAGATATAGAAGAGGAGACTGGAAATCACTATCTCAGCCAGCTGATACTTGACCTATACTCTGAATGTCTAAAGATTTAAGATTTACTCTTAAACCTACGCTTCATGTAACTGTGGACATTTTAATTACCCATAGATTTTCCTCTCTTAAAATCCTGTTAATAAACTGGCCTCCATAATAGTGGAGTTAGACCAATCACATTGCCTGTAAAAAACCCACCTCTTATAAATTTTAAGTAGACTGTCTTTCAGCATTACTTAATGTCTTTTCACTTGTCCACTATGAGTAAACACAGGCATGGGTTTTGACTTACATACTTTGCAGACTTCTTTCCATCCCACCCTCAGATATCCCATCTCTACAAAGAACAGCACTGAATGCTACAAAACAAATAGTGCAGAAACACCAGAGTCCAGAGAGAGGAGGATTAGATGCTGACTGATGAATTTGCTAAAATATTATCTAAATTAAGAAACATTGCAAGCACAGAGTTACCCCCTACGACTTCTGGGGAATATATTAGTAGGACTTGTTGCAGCTAGGGCTGGCTACCTGCTAGGGAGTTACCTTCCTTGAACTTCTATAAACTCATCCTGTTTGGACAGCCTTTTCACATTCTGGACCTCTAATGCTGTTATGTTACTGAAGTGCCAGAACTAGTCACCAAGAGGGCTACAATCCAATAGGCAGTAATTGCTGGAAACTCTTCTCATTTCATAGCCCTCTCCCACACCCCTTCAAGACAGAACTGAGTGAAGTCTCTCCTGCTCTCCCCAACCTTTCTTGGCTGAAACCTGTTCCAATTTCACCCTGTAAACACCTGATATGAACAGATGAACTGGGAGGGGCCAGGAAGCTCTTCATAGCTTCAGGGGGGTGGAGGTAAACAGAAAAATAGTATATAAGATGCTTTGAGACAGACTTCCAAAGTGCATAGACTCTGACAGGAGGGGTCTGAAAAAAAGCTACTTCTTCAGGCTCCACCTTCAGAGACTCACTTCATTGGAAGAAAGCTAGGTACCAGTCTGCTGTAGCACTTGCAGAAAGTTTCATACCTATCCCAGCTGCATTCAGACTACCCGCAGTCAGCTGGAAGTTTTCTGTTGCTGTAAGCAAAAATGCCAGCAAGATCCACTGCTCAGCTGGCATGGCTCTGCATTGTCACTGTGTCTGTGGCAATCTATCCAGCACTGCTGCAGAAGCCTCCTAAAAGAAGAACAATCAATGGGAACGCACAGTCCAAGATGACAGGCTGCTGCGAGGAGATTAAGGAGCTCAAGTTGCAAGTAGCCAACCTGAGCAGAATGCTGCAGGAGCTGAGCAAGAAGCAGGAAGGTGACTGGGTGAACGTGGTCATGCAGGTGATGGAGCTTGAAGGGAGCACCAAGCAGATGGAGTCCCGCCTCATTGATGCAGAGAGCAAATACTCCGAAATGAACAACCAGATAGATATCATGCAACTCCAGGCAGCTCAGACGGTCACACAAACTTCAGCTGGTAAGAAGGGAGTTGCCAAGCTCCCAGATACACCTCTTAATGCACAAAGTGAACTAATGACTAGTTCTTAATGCTAGCGTGTCCCACTAATGTCATTAGCAAGTATGCATACTGAATACTTCTGCTTAAAGTATTTCCGTAGGCAGGTGATCCTGAGAAAACTAGTTTGAATTTACCTGTCAAAAGTCCAAAGATCCAGCTGTATTTTAATATCTGTATGTCTGTTATCAGGGATTGGAAAAACTGAACAGGTACTGTATTTGTACAGTGAGGAACTCAGTCTAATATTTCATTTTCTGAGCACTACAGTACCCATCCAAAAAGAAAGGGAGCTGGCTTTGTCAGGGAATGGCTCTGGCAGTAATACCCTCTGAGTTCACAGTGCTGACAGGGGACTAGAAGTTGGTAAAACAATTAGAAACGCTCTCCAAGCATTACTGGAGATTTGTAACTGTATCTTCACTCTGGTTCAGAGATAGTCGTAAAAGAGTGATTCATTTTTTGAATAATTCTCAAAAATTCAAGGCTGTAGACAATGAAAGATGCAAACTGTTCTGGCTAGGCTTATATCAGAGTTAAGTTGTTCAAAATTCTCTCTTCCCTGAGGGAAGGTTTCACTGCACACAGTGATTGCACAGGCCTGTACTAAACATGGAATGCAGGTGCATTTTGTAGGTCAGCTACCTGTAAAGCCACTTCTAGAAGAAAGTGTGATTTTTGTTGATTTTTCTCTTAATACGACATTCACTGCAACAAGCTTAAAACTTCCTTAAAAAGAAACTGCTGTTGTCTGGGACAACTGCGTTTGCCAAAAGACTTCATTTGGATTTTTTTTGTTTTTTAAATGCAAAGGAAAAACTTCTAAATCTATTTACTAAATAATTCTTAGAAAAAGTTCCACTTGGCTAGTTTTGACACACCACTGTTTACAGTAGGTCTTAAATAAAAAATTATACCATAACGAATCTCTTTGGAGCTGTAGTAAAGGTTTGGGGAAAAAAAAAAAAATACAGTAACACACAGAAGAAACCAGTCCAGAAGTTATTTAAAACAGATGTGTCTCACCTCACCAGGTAAGAGACACTTAGTCTGTACTAAACTAAAAACTGTCAGAATGCATAAAGCCTTGCTTCAGCTAGTTTATCTTCCTCAGAAGAATAGCTGTGCATTTTAACATCTTCAAGTCAGCTCCTGCACCGGGAGGAAAGGAGGCTTGCAGAGACTGACAGATTGACTGCAGCTAAAAGCCACCATCTCTGTCACAGGCTCTAGTGCAAGAAGTGTTGAGCAAACATGCCTCATCTGCAAACTTGGCTAACCTGTTCAAGCACACAATCAAAACAGGCATCTGGCAGCAGGCCTAGCCATTCTATTAGATAAGCCTTTATTATTTGGGAAGGGGACAGCAAATATATACCTTTTTACCTTCCAGCACAGACACACACAGTAGCAATGTGAAGAGAAAGCAGAGATGTCTCTTTGGTATGGAGAGGTAAAAAAACAAAACAAAACAAAACCACCCACAAAAAACCCCCCAAAACATCATGAAGTCCCAGTGCTACAACCTTTTTCCAATGCATGCACTGATCAAAACTAAATCATTTCAGGAAAACATTAGACTTGTGGGAAGTCTTCTTCACTGATTACTCCTTGTGTTACAAACTAAGCTTTACAGAAACCACACTTACAGGGGAGTTGTTCTTGCTGTTCAGATTCTTACTTTCTGGTTCTGATTCAAGTAGATGCTGTCTATGACTGCTCATCACTTTACCAGAGGAACTACCGAATCTCTGGTGTTTACAAGCTACCTCCTGATGAATTTTTGGGGAGTCCAGATCTGGAGGTAAGGATGTCAAGTACACAATGTATATTACATGTCTTTTCAAATATAGTCAAGAAATACTTATCTACCATGGAGATGAAAAGCGCACATACTGAGTTATGATACCCTGCACTTCGAATCAGCATCTTTATGTAGGCAAACTTCAAGGAAGGAAAGAGTGTACATTTAAGAGGGAAAACAGAAAAAGGGTTCATTTAATAAATTTTTTCCATAACTTTTAAACAAAATAGGAATTTCTTCAAGTTGTGAAATCTGGAACAATGTCTTGTGTTAAGAGAATTGAACCATCCTAAGTCTACTGACAAGTAAACACTGCCTTTTTTCCTGTTCTAGGTGTTCTGTGACATGGAGACAGATGGAGGTGGCTGGACTATCATCCAAAGACGTAAAGTTGGTTTGACATCTTTCAACAGGGACTGGAAACAATACAGGGAAGGATTTGGCAATATTCGGGGAGATTTTTGGCTGGGAAATGAAAATATCTACCGACTTTCAAGACGCCCCACTGTTCTGCGAGTGGAGTTGGAGGTAATTAATAAGCTCTTAATTTCAGCAGCAAAAGGTTTTTTGTACAAAGTGATTCTCCAGCAGCAGATACCATCTCCTATCTCTATAGGAGGCCCAAAGAACTTGCATGCTTTAATTACAGGAGAAGGAGGTAGGATAGATCTAGTGATACATTCAAGGACAAGACAGAACTATGTTCTCCACCATGCAAAGTCAGCAGGACAACCTTCTGTCTGCATATAGATTGTGTCTTAGGGAACATGTGGGGCTCTAGAGAATCCTGCGGAACCCACTGCAGACAGATCAAACTGTTGACCACCTCAGATTTAAAGATTCATGGGGCATCTCTGTGAAGTTTTAAAGACTCCGAGACTTTTCCTGTTGCAGCACTTCCTTCCAGCCTGTGTACAAAAGAGTTTGCATTGTATTATCCCAAAACAATTTCTACAGTCTACTAAAGGCTTGAGCTTGACTTAGACTAGTTTATAGCTGGTACAATAGCTTTGAGGGATGGGATATGTACAACGGAAAAAAGTGAGCTGAAAGGCTTTATGTCTATAAGTCACTGTTTCAGAGAGGAAAAAAAAACACCCTACTTGAGGCAGCACACTGTGAGACAAGGATGTTGAATGCAAGAGCTGTGTACCAGGTTTCCATACATATTGTTTAATACCAGTGCAGATAAGACTTGGAAATATGATGCTTTGCTCTGGAAAGTTTCTTTGCCTTAAACAGATAAGTTTCTGCAGTCTGAGACAGAAAAAGGTCATGAAAAATCTAGGATTGAGAAAAGATAGGCAACATGCACTGTATATAACCATAGTCATATGAGTTTTATATATATATATATATACACATACACACACACACGAGAGTCTTTTCATAAACTATTCTAATAGCACCTATTTCTTCTTCATTGTTCTGTGGCAGGACTGGGAAGGTAACATACGCTATGCGCAATATAAGCAATTCACGCTGAGCAACGAAATAAATAGCTATCGTCTTTTTGTGGGGAACTACACTGGCAACACAGGGCGCGATTCCCTAAGGTACCACAACAACACAGCCTTCAGCACAAAGGACAAGGACAATGACAAGTGTGTGGATGACTGCGCCCAGTTCCGTAAAGGTAAAACACACAAACACTTTCCTGTCCTGAGAGGGCTGCCTGGGTAATCTGTAAAGAGCCCAACTCCCTCTTTCCAAGTAACTAGTAAGTAGTATCTGGATGGCAAATCAAGGGAAAGATGAACAATTATGGAATACACACTTATTGGTTATGTGGGAAACCTGGCAGTTAAAGCTGATTTACACAGAGCCAGACTGTATGTTATAGACATCAGTACTCTTCAAACGATTTAGTGTATGCTCTCACCTACACAGTTATCCAGCCCATTATGTGTACCTGCCAATCTGCCAGACTATCTCAGATGTTGATCCAATTCAGTGATGCAGGAAGTTATTCCTGTATATCTAGAAGGTTTTTATTTTTTCTTACATTTTTATGAGGTTTCAAGTTCTAATCACCTATTTCTGTAATTATTCTCCTACATTATTATCCTACATGTACCTCAAGGTTCGACCTGTATTCTAATCTTTATTCCTACTCTATTAAGAGCCTCTAATGAGGTTACTCTCTTCATTCAATTTATCTTTATATGAGGTCTGTCACAAAGATAATTGTCTTCATTGCATCTTGCCCTTTATTTTTAATTTCCCCATTGGGACCCCATGCAAGATGCAAATAAAATTGTTGACATCAGTCTCAGTAAAATAGCGCAGCTTACTTGCAGAGTCCAGAAACATTTTCAACACCTTAAAACGCCCAAGCTAAGAACCCAAATTCATTTCCTATGCTAACTCTCAGCGTCAGGGACAGAAACTTGTCAAGGAAATATTCTAAGAGGAATGAGCAACTAATTGAAAAGCTACTGGCCTAATTTGACTATGTAACTGTAAAGCCTCTATGTATTTAGTATCTATGTTAAGTTTTGAATTTACCTGCAATCCCAGCTATTAGGGCCATAGGCTCCAGGGATTAAATGCTGCATTCTGGTCACTCTCTTCAGGGAAGAGCAATAATTCTTATTATTAATACAAAACAAACCTGCTCCTCATCAGGAATCTATTCATTTGCTTTCTGAAAAGGTGGATATTGGTACAACTGCTGCACAGATTCCAATCTGAACGGGGTTTACTACCGCAAAGGAGAACACACCAAGAACATGGATGGCATCACCTGGTATGGATGGCACGGATCAACCTATTCACTGAAGAGAGTTGAGATGAAGATCCGTCCAGAGGATTTCAAACCGTAGAGGGAACCAATATTTGATTGTACAGCTACACGATGCCACTGCACAGAAGGTGGGCAACGGACAGCTCAAAATCAGCCAAATAATTGTTCATTTCAACTAAAACGTGCAACAGCTACATACTGGCTATGTACATACACAAACACTAAGGCACATTAAGCACCAGCCACAGCCACTAGTATTATCAGGGCTCAGACTTATTTCCTCCTCTTCAGGCTCTTTCCAAAGGGAAAAATGTTGTGTTACAATAGGTTAGAACAGAATGCACTTACAGCACCTTCAGAAAACCTACTGGTGTGTTTTCACTAGCATTGAGTAGTGGGTTGCCTTAGTATTAAGCAGCCAGACAGGGACCGAAAAAAGAAAGCCTCCTTGTTGCCTTTCCTTCAGTGTCGAGAGTAAGCATTGCTGAGTAACTCCTTCCAAGAGGGACTCAAATCACAAAAATGACATACCCATTTCAAGCCAGAGGAATCAATCAGAAGTGTCCCTGATGCACCTTTCTTTAATGTATAGTAAGTGACTTACATTCCCACAGAGGAAAAAAACGAAGCTCAAAAATTTTGGATTAATTAGTATTGCCCAGGTTCTCTCCTGAAGTTTTACTGCCATCTCCTGCTGCTGCCTCAAATAAGTCCCCATAGAGGGCTGCACCCAGCAGATAGTAACCCTGGAGGAAGGATTTGTCCCATATGCTCTGGGGCGTTTATTCCTATCCACAGATCACCTAAAGGTTGATAAACTAGAAAGCAACTTTCTGGGCTGCCACCAAATTATGTTCAGGTTAGAATATAAGTGTGCTATATGTCAGTAAGACTAAGAGAGAACAGCAGGTTAGCAAAAAAATCCAGACCCAGCCACCCAGCCAAAAAACTCTACTCCAACACTTAGAACCACTGTATCCATGAGCAAAACACTAGTACGCACCACAGAATCCATAAGTGCCAAAAGTTACTCAAACGTAAGGGACTGTTTGCTAGCATACCACGTTGAGGAATATTAAAATCTGTTCTGAAAAACCACTCCAACTACAAGTTACCTAGGGATGTTATGTCAAAAATCAGTATGTTTCTCCCTTACATAAGTGTTAAAAACAACAGTTAAAGGAAAGAGATGCCTCCTGTAGCCATACAGTTATTTGAGTATATTGAAAGAGATAGTTATAGTTAATATATCTATTTTTATTCACCTTAAAGAGAGTTTGAATCTAATTTAAATTGTTCAGTCTTGTATGAAATGGGAGATAAAGGTGTCTTGGGAATTGCCTTATATATGTTTGACTATTCATACTGTAAATTTCAACTGTGTGGAACTATAGTTGGAACTATTTTAACTGTGGTCTACAAATTGAAAGAGATAGTTATAGTTAATATATCTATTTTTATTCACCTTAAAGAGAGTTTGAATCTAATTTAAATTGTTCAGTCTTGTATGAAATGGGAGATAAAGGTGTCTTGGGAATTGCCTTATATATGTTTGACTATTCATACTGTAAATTTCAACTGTGTGGAACTATAGTTGGAACTATTTTAACTGTGGTCTACAAAATGGATTTTTAAAGGTTTAACTTTTTCAACTGTGTGGAACTATAGTTGGAACTATTTTAACTGTGGTCTACAAAATGGATTTTTAAAGGTTTCTAAACTTTTTCATTTCTAATAAATTGTCTGTCATTTTTAATCCAGCTTTACTTCAAGTCTTTGCTCCTTAACTTGCTTTTTGATACACAAAGAAACAGCTGCGAGAGTGATTGAGGCCAGGAAAGGGAATACGCTAAATTCTGTATTTTCCTCAGGAAAACAAGAGAGGACAAAGGATGAAAGAATAAAAGAGGGGGGAAAAAACAGGAAAGCACAACTCCAAGGAAGTAGGAGGGCTGAAAAATTCACTGCATACAGACAAAGCTAAGTTTTTCTCAACCAAAATCAATTTGTCCATCTCAAATAGTAGAGTTGACGTTTCTGTGACATGAAACTGAGATTCATGTTTGAAAACATGTAGTTTAGTACCAAATCCTGTGCAGGTATTTCAGGCTAACATCTTTCTTGTTGACAAAGCTCAGGAAACAATACACTCTTGTTATAATATCTTCTATTTGACATATGAAGAATGAGACCTAAGCTAGATGAGCAGAATTTGATGAGAAATTTTAGTTAAGAACTTAAGCTTTTCTGGCTTATTTATATGTAGGTGTAGAAATCTCTTTCATCTAACTTACAGCCACTCCACAGCATCCCATATTGAACTTGAAGGGCGAGAGGTGAAAATAAGACGACTCCACTTTTTCCTGCACAACTTCCCCCGGCTTCTATCATAATTTTAACCGCATAATAGAAGGGCAGAACTCAGCAGCTAGGAGTATACATATGCAAGCTAGTTAGTAAGCCTACAACAACATCTTGTGGCAGAGAGTGAAATCCTAAGAATTGTCTAGATTCATCCTAATGGTATCCTAAATTGGGTACTGATGCCAGAGCAGAAGTCTCATCAGGTGCAGTCCTACCTGATGAGAGACTCCAGAATGGCCGGGGTGGGACCCTTTTGAAATTCCAGCTCCTTGTAGTGAAGGGCCTTGGCATACGCTCGACATTTTGCAGCTCTTTCCCCCAGGAGGACAATGCCATTATCATCTCTCAAAGGCAGTGGACCCTGGGTAAAAGCACATACATCAAAAGCAGGATGAGTATAAAAAAGAAGAAAGTATGCATGAACTCTTCACACCCTTTCCATAGACTAGACATCAGCCAGCTAGCCAGCATTAGAAAAAGAGTTGCCTAATGGCATCTCTACCTTGTCACTGTGTTCCATGAATTCTGCCAAGTTCAGCAGTGTCTGAGTGACTTCTGCAATGTCCTGAGAAGTCAGGGCCAATTCAATGCTTCGGATCAGCTCATCCTGCTGGTCTTCATTCAGTTCAGACCAGCATGAAACGAAAGCAGCATTGAAGAGATCTCTGAGAAGGAAAACAGAAGACAGTGAGAGGTAGGGATTCATTATTCATGAAAAAAAGTCTATTTGACAGTGGACTTGCCTTCTTATTCAGAGAAAGAGCTACAAAACGCATTTATATGTCTACCTGCAATAAATAGTGATTAGTTTTTATAAAGCTAACTTCTGTACCAAATACTTAGTGAAACATGCATTTTAAAAATATATAATAGGATGATATACTACAATAGTAGAAATATTGTATATCATATGCTAGCAAGTATTTTAGGCTAGAACAAACTCTTCATAGCAGCAAGGATGGTCTTCTCTTCTGCTATGAGGAAACAGGCCTAGTCTGTCTTAGATCACAAGTGAGTGTAGTGAAAAAGATGATTGTACATTTCTCTGGACACACATGCTGCAACACTTATGTTTTCTGTGCTCACTAGAGGACTGCAATAGCTGGAGTTTGAATTAGTGGCAAAGCTACAGGAGTAAAGGTGATGAAAAACAGGTACAGTGACAGCCCTTGCCACTGCTAGTACTGTGGAGAAATACTGTGGGATGGGTTTGAGATGCACAGAGTATACATGGAGGATGCTAGCATTACCTCTGACTACCTAGAAATTGCTGACTTTTCATCATGCTGTTTGCCCTTCTACTTCAAAAATGATAAAACTCACATTAAGACAAAGTTAAACCAGGAATGAACACTTTTCTAACAGCAGTAGTCAGATCCATATGCACTGAGATGACAAGTGTATATCATCAAGAAGAGATAAACAGGCAACTGCTGGCAGAACCTCAAAGTTTCTCCAGACATACTGGTTGCAAAAGAAATAAAGCACTGCGGCTTATTCCACTCAGGGGCATTTTTGTTCACCCACAGTAGATCCTTGAAACTACTTCATACTCTACTGTGTTTCCAGCTTCACTTTTATGTACCTTATGTTTTTTCTAGACTAATATGCAGAATTCCACTGAAAGATTTTGTGCACATCATGGAGCAGCCAACTGGGAAGGGTGGAAATGAAATCAAGTTGCCAGCTATTTGATTTGTCCCAAAGCAGGAACTATCTCTATTTATGGAACCTAAGAGCTTTTAAGTAATTTTCTTTTTCCTTATAATATCTGGCTTGCATCTGCAATTTCAAGTGATCCGAAAAAAACAGAATTACTCTACCGAGCCATAGGATTATATGCCTGAGCCAGGGCCCAGCATGAGCGCAAGGATGGCGAGGAGGAATCTTTCAGTAGCTCCAAACTCAGTCTTCTTAACCATTCCAACCAGTCATCTTTGGAAACTCTTCTTGCTGCTCCCCAGGCCTGCATTACAAAAGCAAGACAATTCAACTACCAAATGAAGCACTATCCAAAAGCAGAAGAAATCCATCAGTGGGCAGCATTACTTCTTTACAGCTCCAAATCACATTGCTGAGATTCCCTGTTCAATACCCTGAAATCTGCTACCTTTACCAGATAATTTGCAGTACTTCAGTCTCATTTCTAAGAAATCTTCCCTAAACGTATTCCTGTCATGACATGCCAAGTACTTAACATGAATAATTCTTTCCCTACAAAAATACATCAAGAGCTGAAGCCATTGTTGAAACATCAGCTTAAAAATACTTAATACATTTAGAATGAAATTTTTAAGTCCAGCATTTTCAAACCAATCCATCCCACTACTGAACCGAGTGCTACATACATTAACTGTCCAAATTAGCCAGTGCTTAGCTATTAACTTCTATACTGGCTTCAAGAGAATATAGCACTAAGATATACGAGAAGTGGCTGATGAAAAAAGGCAGAGACTCTGAAATAGATGTCTCTAGAAGCTACAGATGATTCCTTGTGATCTAGGAAGTTTTGTTCATACTTTACATAACAAGAAAGTGTCAAGATTACTTCATGCCCATTAATAGTCTGATAATTCAGCTGCTCCTATCTTTAAAGTTGCTTAGCACCTTCTAATTTTAAAGAGAGTCTCAGACGCTACTTTGACCTCAGTTTTGTACAGAGCTGGCAACGGAAAGAGATGTAAAACAAATGTAGTTTAGATGCACTGGACAAAC